AATTGTTTACAATATTGTAAAATGAAATGTCTCGTATCTGTGAGATGTCTCGCACAGGTATTACTACCAGATACACCTATTAACCCATCTATAAGGAGTACAGGGTGTAATAGACTTTTTGTAGCTGCGTCACGTCGATTATGTTTATAATATAGCAAATGGCAGAACAACAGCAACCACAACAACAAAGACTCGTCGTGCACATGCAAATCGGTAGAGTAACTAGTTAAAATCGATAAGAGTGAGGCTTTAATGCGATTACTCGCCAGCTAAATGCCAGCTCTTCAATATGATTGACAAAAGGGGGGCCGTCATTCAATGCCAACAACATTGAACTAATTAAAAACTTGCGTAACTTGTGAAATACCCTTGATGCTGGAACTTGGCCCGAACCGGGCCACAGAGGCAGACGGGGCGGGCAATGGACACAATGGGAGCATCTTTTGCCAGTGGCAGACTTAACAATTAGACAAAGTGCAGTCGGGCGTTACGTCGTCTGTTGGCGGCGCTTATCAAAGCATGCGGCGACGGGACGACAATCAACTTTAGATATGAGTCTGGAACCAGTAATGGGAATTGGAACTGGAACCATGCAGAAATCAGTGAGTGAAAAATAATGTCATATTTTCAATTGTTTTCAGAGCATTTAGCAATCATTTAAGATACGATTTTCATGCGCCAAACATACGATGTTCTTTAAGTAATTAAAAAAAACGAAAATTAACAAGTTTCTTACTTTTATAGGTATTTGCTCTACGTTTGTGTAGAATATATGCAATTGAATCTTTATGGTCTAATGCGAAATCTATTTTTATGAATGCGTGGCATATTTGTTATCAATTGCCCTTAAAAGATAGAGTAGCTTCATTAACTTAACTACCAAAAATATGTTTAAAATTCATCAAGAACTTTAAATTGCTATCTAAACATGTTTCCACTTTAAGTAATCGATATGGGGTAAAAATTGACGAAATGTGTCACATGGGCACACATTTATTTTTAGCATATTATGTGCAACTAATTACTTAATGTACGCCCCTCGTGCTGTTGCCTGTCAACAGAGATTTTTCCGCTTGTTAGTTGCGTGGCGTTTCATGCGCTAATAGTTAACAGCCACAGACACGGCCACATACAAACAACAGTTGATCAACATTTATGGGGTCGCTGTTGTTGTCGCTGCTGCTGTTATTGTTGTTTTTACAGCTGCTGCAACTCCAACGCCGCCAACCTTGGCAAAAATGCTGCGCTGGCTGTTGTTGCTGCGTTGGCGTTGGCGTTGACTACGCGCTGCTGCTGCTGCTACTGTTGTTGTTGTTGTTGTTGTTGTTATTGCTGTAGCTCCAGGGCTTTGTCAAGTACGGCAGCTATGGCCGTGGGCCTGCGTCATGGTGTGGAGATACGAGAGAACGAGAGGTAGGCAGGGGGGAGATGGGGGAGGGTCGCGTAGCCAAGCAGCGCATGGCTCATAAATTTCTTGCTGGTTTGCAATATGAAATATTTGCAGCATAATTCAATTAAGCCTGTGTGTGTGTGTGTGTGTGTGTGTGTGTGTGTGTGCAGTGTGCCGTTAATTTTTAATTTATGCCCATAAAGTAGAGGGCAATTTTCATTAGGCCACATTTGAAAGATATCGAAAAAGTTAAAGCAACAACAATTGCATATAAAAAGAAATGTTAAATTCATTCTTAAATTAATTAAGTACGATTTTGCCGTAAAAAGGTAAAAGTCATAGTCTGTACACGTACATTGTTTATAGTTGCCAAATTAACAGTTTAGTTGACATGCACACAGATTACATAACTGTTAATGTATTTATTTAACAAACAGCAACTCCTATTTAACACTTTTGATGCCAATGTTAACTGAATTTCTGTTTCAACATTCTTCAAACATAGCAGAGTTAACATAACTAGCACATAAACAGACTTAGGGACACAGCTGTTAACAACAGCCTCTGTCTGCAGATCAGAACAACAATTAACAGCAGGCAGCCGGCAACGTGTCGAAACGAAAATATGTCTGTGTGTGGCAATCAAATAATTGGTTTCTTGTCTTTTGTGCACTCATATTAACTAGTTTTTTTTTCAATTAAATTTTTTTTTGCTTTGCTAGCAAAACCCAAAAGTAACTACTAAGTGACTTGTTTTATGTTCCGAATGCCAAAGTTTTGTATGCTAAAAATAGAAACTACAAGAGCTTTAAAATTTCAAAGAACACGAGCTTTAGTGATCATTAAAAATGGCTAGGTGAACGAGGGGGAAGGGGGACAAGTGGAGTTCTCAAGTAACAAAGTGGCTGCTAGCAAAATGCTGCGTAATCATTTTCGGAAGTTTCAAGCAAATGGACAAGAACAAAGATTCAACGAAGGACAGTGTGAGGGGTTGGGGGGCAAGGGAGAGCTAGAGTCGACTAAAAGCTGTGCAAATAAACGAAGGCGGCAACGTCAGCTGTAGATAAAACAGTGCATAAGTATGCGTCTGTGTGCGAGTGACAGACATTCCAAACAGTGACAAAAACAACAGCAACAAGAACAACAGAAAGCAGCAGCAATAGCTAAAAAGAAATAAGGCCAATGATGCTTGTAATTGTAGCTGCGTCGACTTGACAGAGTTACTGTTCTTGTTGTTGTTGTTTGAGTTGCGGGCGTGCTGTTAAGGCCATGCAAAAGACCCAAGGCAATACCACATTATGAGTGCGAGTGAGAGCGCACGCACACGCAAGAGCACAAAACGTAATGCGACAAACAAAAACTGTGTGCAATGTGCGAGCTTTGAAAGTGATTAACATTTTATGTGAGAGCCGCCGCTGGCTGTTGATGATGTTGATGATGATGATGATGATGATGATTGCCTCCTCACCGAAGTTAATCAAGCAGCAACAGCTAGGCAAAGCAGAAAGAAGTGCAACAAGAGCAAAAAAGTGTTGAATAGGATGAACTACGCGGAGGTGCCGGGTGAGCAGCGCACAGTGCTGCCAGCTTTTGAGAGGCTCAATAAGTTGGATTTAGCAGAACAAAAAGAAGGGAAATGGCTGCGTTTTACTTTGAAATAAAATAGCAAAAAGAAAATATATTTACATATACTATATGCAAAATATATTCCACTTCCTAGTTGAAAAAAAAGCTACATTTCAAAACGGTTTTAAATAAAAGCTAGTTTTGATGTGAAGCTATTGGAAAATGCAACACTGCAAAGTCCTTTTCAAATGCATATTGACAAGCTTTTGAATGTTAACAAACATTGTTGCCTCTCCTCTCCTTTCCATTCATATCGTTTTTCATTTCGAAAAACACGAAAAAGAAATCAATAAATTAATAATCATTTTTATATGCCATAAAAATACCCTCACTCTTGACTAGGAAACGAAAAAAAATATCAGAAATTAGCCAACTTTGCGAATTTCCCTTTATGTAAAAAGTACCAAATGACATCTTTAACCCATTTTAATACTCCTCGCAGAGTTGTTAAAGCTCTTCAGCAACAGCTGCTGCAGCAGCAGGCGAACTATGGGGAAATCTACAGAGCATCCAGTTCCTCATCTGTTCACTTGTGATATTTTCACTGTTAGACGTGATGTTGTTGTATTGGTAACTGCTTTTGCAGGTGCCTTGTGCATATGCATGTGTGTGTGTGTGTGTTTGTGTAGTTTTAGTGCCTGGCTCTGGGGGGAATAGCGCGCTTTTGATGGCTTTCTCTCGTACAACTTTGGACATTGCACCAACTATCTGGGCATATTAAAAGTGGCTAGTTATCTGTTTGTGGTCAGTGCCATGGCCCACTTTTATAGCTTCATTTGGCCAGAAAAAGCAGCAGCAGCAGCAACATCAGCTTCAGCAGCAGCCATAGCAACAACAACTAGAGAATCAGGTAGCCAGGCAATTAAGTACTCCGCGCGGCTAGCTGCTAAGTACACTCAGGGAAATTTCCATACACTACAAGAAAAAAAAATACTCTTCTACTGCATATAAGGAATTTTCGCTTGAGCACAGGGAATAGTTAAAAGGGAAATTATGGCATATTTATGGCTTTACGGAAATTAAGAAACAAAATCTTTACTTTTTCTTAAAATTATTGTTAAATTGTGCAAAATTGGTAAATAAGCATTTTAATAACCGCATCATGTTGATATAAACTAATTAGAATCAGAGAACTTCAAAAAAGTCCAATAAAAAAGGTAATTTTTCATATATTCACATTTCTGTAAAAAGGAACAATCCCAAAATAATTTTAGCGGTATTTGAAATTTCCCTATCATTATCAAGGGACATTTTATGCTTTAAGAAAAACTGTTTGAAGCCAATTGTTTTTTTTTTATCTAGGAAACAAGATCCTTTTCCAGGGGAAATTATGCCATTTTGAAAGAAAGTTCTTTACTGCTGCGCCAATTTTCTCTCAGTGCAGCAGCGATAATACGCAACGCAATCAGAACTTCAGAACTTGCCCCGGCTCCAACCCACCAACGCCCAGGTGGTCAAGCGATGAGGGTTGGGCACTTAACGTTAATTACAGCGCAAAGTCGGCCTGAATGCAGTTGGTGCCACTGTGCAGGGCAGTTGGCTGATAAAAGGAGAAGAAGAAAAAACACATTTGCAAACGACGATAGCAGCGGCAGGGGCAACGGCAGGGGAGGAGCAAATAGGTGCACATAGCAGAGCAGATAAAAGAAAAACTTGCGACAAGTCAAGCACACGCACACACACACACATACACACATACACAAACAAACACACGTAGGCGAAAAGCCAACAAAAAGCGGAATTGCAACTGCTGCAGCAGCGCCTGAATTAGAGATGAGCATATCGCAGGTTGCCGGCGAGGGGTGAGGGGTAGCAACGAACCGGTTTAATTGAGCGACCTCCAATCAGAATCAAGTTCACGACAATAAAAAAGCCGCTAAACGCACTCAACACAACCACAACAACAAAAGAGATTAGCTATAAAATTAAGTACAACAAATTAAAGAGAGAGCGAGAGAAGACAACAATTGAGTTTTATATTCACCTTAAACGTTGTGCAGTCGGCGTCGCTGTTGGCGTCTGTGGCAGGCAGCGTTCAAAATTCCTGCGAAACAACACAAAAGTTAGAAGCTGGACGTGTGGACTACGCGGGCACAGGACAAAAATGTGCACGAGCTTTGCCCGCACCGCAAACCGTGAACCCGGGCCCCGGTTTATTTACGCGTTGTATTTCTAACGGAACCGCGCAACAACTACAACAACTGTGTGTGTGTGTGTGTGTGTGTGTAGTTTTTTGTTTTTATTTTACTTTGTAGTAGGTATCAAGTGCCTGCGCACTTACACACAACACACAGCACACACACACACATGCACGCACGCACAATATTTTTCGAAAATACCAGCGTAGCTATGTGTGTGTGTGTGTGTGTGTGCACTCTAGCTGTTTTCAACAATGACGCGAAATTTACCAAATATTCATTCAGTCGCACTGCAACACTTTCATTATTTCTAAATTATTATTATTTTGTTATAAACAAACGCGACGTTCTCGTTTCGGCGGCACGACTGCTGCCTTGTGTGTGCCTGTGTGCATGTGCGTATATTGCATTTAGATATCTCTTATATATTTATTATGCACACTTTAACGCGAATATTGTAATGAAACACTTAATTTGTTTAAAAATACATACAAAAACAGACCACGCCACGCGTCCGCACAGTTTGTTGAATCGGAAAAGAATGAGTGAAAAGACCGAATTAATTATCGATATATCGATAAGTGCGGCTCTGTGTTGATACAACAATATGGCAACATGCTGACAAGCGAACTGCCCTGGTATTCAGCTGTTGGCAACATGTAGCCCGACATGCCTATGCTGAGTGCATGAATGAAGAAGAGAATGTCCGCAAATGTTGCTGGGCGGCATGTAGCCTCACGGCGCACATGTTGCTAAGCACTTAGCGATGACAAAGACTAAGCGATATTCCAGAAACCCAATCGATGTTGGACAACAAAATGCTATACGACACAATAAGCCTATACAACTATAAGCTGTCTCTGTAAATGTAATAAGTCAGACTGATAAATATAGAAAACGCAGCTGTTAACGCAAAAAAGAGCGCCAACTCTGTTAAGGAATATCGATAATATATCGAGTTGGGGCGTAAGCAATTGCAATTGGCGCGCATTTAAACACTTATTTGATTTTCATAAGTAATAACAGCAAAAACACAGTTGTAACTAGTTTAGCATTTATTTATCATTAAAATTTCACTGAAACACGATCAAAACTATATTTGACTCTGCTTATGCCTGAGTTTCAACTGACAAACCAGGTCCATTTAAAATCTTAATTTTATTATTTTGCTTTCTAAAGGACGTACTCGTATGCTTGCTTAAAACAAAATTTAGAAATAAATAGCGAATAGGAAATTTACATTTTTTGATTTTTGTTGTTGTTGTTGTTGTTGCTTACAATATCTTTCGTTGTTGCCGCCAAAAGGAACGGTACGTCTCAATTTATCAAAAATTATTTTACATGACAAAATAAAATTGAAAATAAATTCGTTAACGGAACAACACACAAAACAATGAATTTAGCTGCACTAAAAAAATAAAACATTATTTTGCAGAACCTATAAAAAAAATTAATTAAAAATTCATAATAAAAACCCTGTTTACTTTGTCGATCGTGCTTGGGTTATCTTCTGTTTCTCCTCATCGGTAAACTCCAGAATGCTCTCGATGGCCTGCAAATGGCCCTGCGAGTTCTCCTTATCTGTGAGAAAGTAGAAAATAGCGCTCTTCAGGAACTGCAGCGTTACCTCCGGATCGACATGGGTGCGATTCTTTTGCGCCTCCAACAAACGCCGATAAATGGTCTACATTCGCGAATAGCGTTTGGTTAGTGTGTGTGTGTGTGTGTGTGTGTGTGGAAAAGAGAAGTGCAGAGAGAGGCTTCAGATTAGTTCACATACAGTAGAGTCGAGCATAAGTGTTTTATATAGCAAATGTGAGGTTAGGTTGCGGCTATACCAAAATATAAGTTGGTTAAATGTTATTTACATATAAATTTGATTCACTGGTGCTATGACATTTGATGAACATTTAGGTTATGTAGTATATGTAACACTGAATATATTTGGTAAGGAAATGTTTATATATATATATATATAGTAGTATATATTGTATTTGCATTGGGCGTACATTTTAGGTCTATAGGGAATTAGTTTATATGAACCACATGCTGGGTATTTTTAGCTTAACGTGTGTCAAAATTAATCAATGATTGTTTTCTGCTTATTTTTTTTTACCACCTGTTGCTGCACAGCAACGAAATAGTCGCAACTAGCCTGTCTTTATTTTTTATTTAAACTAAATTAGTGTTAATACATTGCAAAACATACCTCTAGTTAATGCTAATTTGGTAGTAAATCAACACAGCAAAGAGTCGAGTGAGAAAAAAGCCAACGACATGTTAACGTGGCCAGTGGAAACGCGTTGAAATCAACATATTTATTTCGTGTTTCATTTCACACATTCCCCATGCCCCAGATATACCAACACCCGTTACACGCCCCTTAACCATATGATGATGGCGCTTATGTAAATGAAATGTTTTGGGTTTTTGCAGGTTAGGAATACATGAATATCCAAAATGTTCGTTAGCCAATGATTCAGAAATAATAAGAACAGAAATAAGTTTCTTTGTTTTGAAATTTTTGCAAATAAACTATAAAAAAAAACATTTGGGTTAGGTTAATAGGTTGCTTATTTTTGGGGTAGGTTTTTATTTTAGTATTTTTTTTCTTAACGGATATTACAAACCTTACGCGCGCCAAGTACCCACAAAGAAATCGCCTCCTTTGCAGTAAGGAGAGCATGATTACTGCCGCACTCCCTCATTCTACAATCTGATGCCTACAAAAATAGTTGTTTTTTTTTGTTTTTGTTTTTTTTTTTGTTTTGTTTTTTAGGTTATACGACAAAATATATATATATATTTTTATATATATAGATAGAAAGAAAATTATGTAAAACTTTAGTAAAATTTAAAACTCAAAGACAAGGATATATATTGAGAGAGTTTATATAAGCATGCAGGAGAAAAGGTAAATAAGGAAAAAGAACAACTTAAGAGCTCGCAACGGCAACTGTACTTTCGTTATCATGCACTCTCCACTACGCAGTGACTGTACTTAGCTAATTGAACTCGCAACGGAACGGAATGGAATGAAACAAGCGAACTTAACGAAGAAGTAGAAAAAACGTGTTGATACTTGAAAACAAATCAAACGTTGCTTTTAATGTATACTTTTGAATGCAAATGTTTGTAAAAGTTAATTAATTAATTAATGTTATGCGGTACTTAAAGTCTATGAAATGAATAATAAATTATTGAATTATTAGCGACGCGCATTTCAATTAAATGCAGCTTTTCCAGCCAGGCAAAGCGCCAAATTGAAATGAAACGTTCTCAATCAAAAGCACACACACAAACACAGACACAGACACACACACACACACACATACGCACGCACACACACAACAGTTGAATGTCATAATGTTGTTGATGTTTATTTGTGTGCGTGTGCTTTGATTTATGTTTGTTGTGTATTTTTGTTGTTGTTGTTATTGTTGTTGGATGAGTCGCAGTTCACGATGCAACAAAATGCAACACACAAAACAAAACCGAAAATAATATTAGAAATATATTGAAGAATCTTACGCGTATATTCTCCAGCTCATCCTGTGTGCTTTGCAGCTGATGCAGCAGCTCGTTGATGGACACCTTGCTGTCCGGCTGGCGTTGTGCCAGTTCCATTGCCTGGAAACGATGGAATGAAACATTACAAATGCAACTCTGCCAGAGCCTACACTGTGCAAAAATAAAAGGGATAGTTCCTGTGTAAATTTGTTACCAATTTTATAGAACAAATATTCTACGAAACGTTAGAAAAATTAAGCGATTTCGAAAAAAGGTATTGTTTTAAATTAATAATCTAAAATTGATGTCCATAAATTGGACGAAACAAAATCGAAGCAAAATCGGAGCTCTAAAAGTGCGAAATCGCGTTGATGAACCCAAACTGAAGGAAGGGCATTGGTTCAAACCCTTGTGGTATTGGCAAGCCATGAATTTACTGTTTTTTTTTTTTATGTAGGTCATTGGTTCAAATTCAACAGAAAATTGTGATTTAAGGCAAATCCAAAATAAACTTTTGTTGAATTGACAAACCACAAACTGATCTAACTTTTTTAAAGGCAGGTCATTGGTTCAAATCCAACCGAAATGTTTGGTTCAATTGACAAGACATGAACTGCATTAAAATGAACAGAAACTGATCTAAAATGAACTTGTTTTTCCTTAAAAGGTAGCTCGTTAGCTCGTTCAAATCCAACTGAATGAAGTGGTGTTTTTTTTCGAGTGCAGATGGAAGCGTACCTGATCGGCGCGCGTGATGCGCTCCGCCTCCTGTCCCTGCTGATACATGTGCAAATACATTTTGTTCTGCTTCTCCTCATGCTCGATCAGCTTGCGCTGCAGATCCTCGAGCTGTTTCTCCAGCTCACGGATGCGCTGCTTGGCGTGCTCATAGTCCGGCACAATGTCCGAGTAGCGTGTGTTGCATTCGGCCAGCTTCTGTAGCAGCGCCTCGACCTTGTCGTTGTGTGTGCGCTTCAGGTCGCTGGCGGCGCCGTCTTGGGTGCGAATCAGCTCCTCGATGCGATGCTCGTACATGCGTATTAGCTCCTGGCGCTGCAGCTCGTAGTTCTCCAGGCTGCTGGATGCTGCCGCCGCGTCCGGCGCCGTCTCCTCGGGCGTTTCACTTTGCGTCTGCGAGTCCTTCGAGTGCACCGACGACATGGTCAGATCTTCAAAATGACCCGAGTCCGCATACGAGCTCTGCATCTCGGCGGACATTTGCAGCTGCTGGTGCTGATGCTGCTGCTGACGGGCCAGATGACGCGGACTGCACTTGGCCTCGTCCACCATGTCGACGATGGGCGAGACATCCTGCGAAGTCTTCAGCTCCGCTTCGCGCACCGTTACCGCATCCGAGGAGGCGGAACGCTCCTCGGGCGAGCTGAGCGATGCCTTGAACAGACGCAGCTCGACAACCTCGCGTGTCAGACGCAAAATCTCCGTATCCTTGGCCTCCAGATCCTGTCGCGCTATGCTCAATAGCTCCTTGAGTCGTCGTATCTGACGCTGTGCCCGCTGCGTGGGCGTCAGATAGTCGGCTCCAACTTGGCCCGCATAATTGGAACAGTGCACCACATACTTCATCTTGCGTCCACTGAAGGTGGTGCCGTTTCTGCAACGAAAAACTTATATTTAGTGGGTGCTTTATCCATTTTATTAGTTTGTAATATTTGTCTTACTAAGTGTGTGCAAGATTCCATTAAAATTGGGGTTCGGAATAAGCTAACTAAAAATTTCCCCATATTCAAGTGGTTTCCTATTCCCTGGAAATTGTGGTCTTAACAATTCCCTGTATTTTACTTATATTAATTCTTTTAATATTGTTTAAAATCTAATTAAATTTTTCCTTCTAATCTGATTAGTTTTTTGAATTTCCGTTTAAATAGTTAAAAAATAATATTTCCCCATATTCATAAGAAATTTCCCATTTTTTGTATTTCTAAGTAA